GATTTGCTCAGCCCTAAATGAAGGTTGTTTCCAATTAGGTTAATGAAGGACGTCATTCTCATGGCCAGAGTCACTCAGTCTGGTACAGGAAGGTATAAATCACCTGTCCCTGTACATAGACACTCTTTACCCTCCGAAGAGCACAGGAGAGTAAGGAAGATTATTTTCACTGGGCTGTGAAGCATTTAGCATCCAGTGTGCTCTGTGGAGATGGAGCCAGCAGCCCCCTTTCACCACCAGCACCGTGTCTTCCTGCCCACCCATATCATCCACTCCTGCTGGATTCACTCTCCTCTGCACCAGCTTTGCTCCTGGGGCCAGTGACTCCCTGTCCCATTCCCCAGGTGCCACTCTGCAGCCTGGGGCATCACTCCAGCATTCCAACTCCTCAGCTGGGTCTCGCCCAGCCTGCACTGTCACAAGGCTCTCATCACCGGAATCTGCATGTCCCTCCCTTGCAGTCTGTTGCGTATGGGGATGGTCAGAGCAACAAGAAACGCTGAAGGCACTTGTATGGACAAGTGCTGTAGCTCGGTGCCCTAGACAGAGCTATAACTGCCCGACAGTGCGTGCATTTATCCCAAAGGCATAGCCTCACATCTCAGTGCACACATCCAAAATGTGCCTGTGGGAGCTCTGCCCATTTTTTAATTGCTTGTGGTTAAGGGGAAAGAGTCACTTTCTCAAGAAATTCTGAAGAGAGACTTAAAAGCTGATGAATATGTAGCAAAACCACCTCCCTCCTTCCCTTTTCACAGCCACAGTCTCATACTGTGGGTCTAATAACTTAGTGGTTTTCTAATAAATTTAACCTTAGCATCAATTAAAATGTTTTGGCACACAAGGAAGGGAGAGGTGGGCTCCTAACGACATTCATCATAGAAAGCACATTGAGATTAGATTTTCGTTAGCTGTGAAATTAAATACTCTGAAGCAGCTTTTTCACCCTGACAATTATGAATATGCATCAGAGTGATGTTTGCACCCTGCCCTGCCTGCTCCTGCATGTGCTAGTGAGGAGAAAAGCCCGTTTCCTCACAAATCTTTGAGAGGGTGTTCCGAAGAATGGAGAATTTGGGCCCCAACCTCTCCTGCTCCCTTGTGATGGAGAAATCTCATTGGAGAACTTTTCTGCAGTGTCCCATCAGTTCTGCCTGCTCTCTCAGTTAAAGCCTGAGATCCCCTAGTTGTCTGTCTTGCAGCCTGATCTGTTTTCCGCTAAAGCCCGGATTTGCCACTGCTGCTTTTTCCTAAGATAAAATGACTCACAAGATTTTAAATAAAACCTGAACACAAGCCCCATTTATTTTGCTATTCTTTATGAATCACTGCACAAGACTGGCACAGGGCAGGTGAAGAAAGGTTGGGAAATATTTCCCTTTTCCTGCTAGGGGTTTCCAAGACTTGTGTCCAGCAAGTCAGGATTGTCAGTGAAAATCTCAAGGAAGAAACTAAGTCTCCACTGGACAGTCAATAAAGGGAGAGATTCAGCTTGAATCCTGGGTGTGCTTGCAAGGGGCTCACATCACAGGGTCAGTACCAGGTATCCAGGAACATCCTTTTATTGAAATGTTTGATCATGTAAAGTGAGAAAACAATCATCTCCCACCCCCAGAGCTGCTGTGCTCCCCTCCTAAGTGATTTTGTAGTTTCTCTGCAATCAAACAGTGTCTGCCCAGAGCCTGTCTTGCACTGATGTGTAACCTCACAGGAGCACAGCAGTTGGGCTCTTTCCGCAGGCTGCCCTGGCAGAGGGAGCACACTGAAGTCATGGGGTCTGGGGCTACCCGGCTCCCAGAACAGGTAATGGCAGTTTTGCTATTGCTTTAATATCTGCTGAAAGATGGGTCCGGCACAGACCAGACAAGGAGGGACAGCTTAAAGCTGCCTAGCATCACCTCTGTGCTGGTGCCTCTGCCTGGGATTCGTGGGCTCTGCTCAGGACTCCTGTTGATTCAATTCCCCAAGCTCCCAGGGAGCAGACGGGAAGGGCCACCTCAGCTGGACACCGGCAAGTCCCAGTGCCTCGGCCGGGCAGGCGGGGAGGAGCTTCCCAGAGCTGCAGGTGCCATCAATCATGTTGAGGACACAGAGAGGGGACAGTCACCTTCAGCACAAACCTGTAAGTGAAAGCCTGCGAGCAGGTGACGAGCTGAGCAAACTGCATTACTCTGGGATGATTTTAGTGTGGTGTGAGTGCAGCAAGATCAGGCAGTACATTGCTTCCCTGGGTATCCATGGCAGGCAGAGGACTGGCAAACAGCTTCCCATGTTAATATCAGCTGCAATAATTTTCTGCCTAAACCCTTTTCTCTCTAAGCAGAGCTCAGGTTGGATCTTGGCCCATTGGTGCTCAGACTCCAACCTTGTGTGCCCTGTAATTGTGTTGTGTAGACATTTACAGGGACGGCCAGGGAGTTTCCAGCCCAGAGCAGCTGGAAAGCCCAAGCGGATGGCGGTTACAGTGACTTCTCATGAGCAGCATCTGCTGCTGTGGGGCCACGCTGACAGGGCTTGGCCCCCTGCACTGTGACCCAGCAAGATGAATAGGAGAGGGTAGGAGGGGTGTAAAGGAAGCTCCTTGTGAATTATGTTTGTTAAGAAAAGCAAACTGATGCAGCTGAACTATATCATGCAAATGAGGACATTCAAATGTGTTAGAGTGGCCCAAGGCTACCCCGGTGCCAAGGCAGAACTGAGAGAGCAGTGTCCCCCAGCCAGGAGAGCTTAAGGAAGAGCAGAGCAGAGGAGTGTGCACCTGCAAAGTGTGTGCTGGGATGGCAAGGAGAAGTCCTCCAGGTCAAGTTGTGTCCTGGTTCAGCCAGGACAGAGTAAAGTTTTCCGCAGCAGAGAGAGAGGGGGAAGGGATCTCCAGCCGGGTTATTCATACCATGCTGACATCAGGTTCAGGGGCGGAGCCTTTTTTACCTTTTCGCTTCTGGTGTTGGTTTTTGCCATACACGGGGCGGGTTTGCTCCGTGATCATTTAGCGGTATTTCTCTGTATATCTTTTGCCTTGTTCACTGTTATTGCTGTTTATTGTTGTTACCATTGATACTATTGTTACTCAGATTGTTCTATCACTCTGTTGTATTAAATTTCTTGTTATTTTAGCCGGGGTCTGGGTTTAACTTCCAGCCTGACCGGCGTGGGCGGGGGAGGGGCAACAGCCACGTGCTCTCCCATCCCGGCAAGGATTAAACCTTGCACAAGTTGCTGCTGTGACACCAACGCTGTATTATTTAAAGTAGGAAGCCTCTAAGATGCAAATGTTAATATTTTCCTTACATATTTTAGCAGGTGATTATTAAAAGGTAATGAATTTTTAAGACTGAACATCAAAACTGCATGTACATAAATACAAGTAATGATGTATGAGAAGCTGCCATACTGTATTTGTACGTACTGGTAACAAGACAGGGGACATTTGGTATGTTCAAGGAGCAACTGTGTGGCAGTCAGCCTGCCTGGGCATTGCTTGGTGCTGTTTCCTACAGGTGGCTTGCATATCAAACTCGAAGGGCTAGCAGCCTCTTCCAAGCCAGCAGATAATAACTGGGGCTTAGTTTCTTGGCAAAGCACATGCGGTTGTTCAATGGTTATACTTCCTGGCTGTCCATGTTTGCCTTCATGATGTCCATGCAGTACCGCAGACCTTTCCAGACCCAAGCAGGAGAATGGGATGTTTCAAAACAGAACAGTGCCTCTTTCTCATCACCAAAAGCCAATAAATGAGTTGGGAAAGGAGGCAAGCATGCTCCTGAGAGCCTCTGTCAGTTTAGCAAGAAGATGTAAATGGTGCTTAATTTAAAATCATATGTGCATCAAGCTGTCAAACTAGTAACCTGGGTAAAACGTGTCTCAAGGATGTGGGAGTCTGCCAGCAGCACAAGGGCTTTGGCCACGTCTACTAGAGCGAGGGAGCCAAAACCTGGCTTGCTGCTGCTCCTTCTGTCTTCAGTGCATGACATCTCTTTCTGTGCAGCACACACTTGCTGGAACTGTTTTGCACAGACCAATTCTCATGCTTTCTACCGTCTTTGTCATGAGAGTATCAGGAACCATCCAGAGGCCAGAAGTTCAACAGAGTGCATTAAGAACCGTGGATGAGCATTGCTGCTCCCATTAACTAAATTAACCAGCATCCTGCCTGGCCTGCAGAGGCAACTCCATCATACTCATGGTATGTAGGCACTAACCATAAAAATATTTGATTGCTTAACATCAGATGATTGAGATAGTCCCACTTACTACTTTTCAGTGAGCCTATGTAAGCTGTTAACATTCCACAGGCTGTGTACCCACCTAACCCAAGAAAGCCATGAAGTAGGCCAGAGGAACCATGGTTCATCAGTATTTGGCTGTATGGGCCAGTAACACAGAGAATGAACTATTGGCAGGATCTCTTGGCAGTTTAACACCAATTAGTGTCTTAAATGTATTCATTTACACTCAAAGCTAATTTACTCATTACTTCAAGTAATTAGCTCCATCTGTCTGAATGCAGCCTTGGGTGTGAGGCAGGCATTTTCACCTGGGTGTGGATAACAAGGGTAGTTGCTCTGCTTGTGAAGTCCATGTCAGCAAAACTCATGGAAAGAAAGGCTCCATCCCCCGTGGCTCCTGGCCCATGGGGTACCTCCCAAGCCACCTCATGGCAGTTAGAGGTCAGGTAGGGATATGTGCTGGGGATGTTATTGTTATTTACCTCCTCCCCATCTCTTGCCTGTTCTGGCTCGCAGCATGGCCCTGTGAAGACTAGGCTATGGGGCAGGAATAAGCAGCCCCTTCTGGCCCCCGCTGCCTTCCCCTCCCCAGCCCCTGCTCCCTGGCAGGGCACTGGTGCAGTTCTCCCGCAGTGTGCAGGTAGGGACCCTGGGGAAGGAGGCAGGACTACTGCATGCATTAAACATCCCAGCAAGCAAGCTAACAGCTATCAAAACATATAATTAAACCATTATTTTCTCTCACCCCCTCTCTTTTTTTTTTTTCCTTCACCTGAACAAAATATTTTTCCATTTACTTGTTATCAGTGAAGGGAGTGAATATACTGAAATGCGTCTGCTGTTCTGCTCTACTACCCTCTATTAACTTCCTAAGCACTTGGGAACCTTTGGCTCAGCTGCATGAAATAACAGGGAAACTAATTAGGCCGATAAAACTTAATGATTGAGTCAGGCACCCCAAGAAAGGGAATGACTTTTTGCTACCTTCTTTTTTTCTTTTTTTTTTTTTTTTTGTGGTTAATACATGTGTTCACCCTTGAGTTCTACACTCCCTGCGCTGCTGGCAGCATAGATCAGATTTAGTTAAAACTGAAGAAGGAAGGTCCCAGCCAGGAGCAGTGACAATTCCTTTTTGTCCCCAGTTGTGGGGTTTCCTGGGCTGGGGTTTGATGAACAGCTTGTTGCAAGTCCCATTGTCTGCATGGGCCCTTCTCAGCACACACAGTGCACGTCTCGCAGTATTAATTAATATGCTGCTGGGATGGCACGTGAACAAGTCTTGGCCACATTGCAAAGAGAGTTTGGGCCAAGTCTCTCTCCTGATGTGGACACAGGGACAGGTGGAGGCACGTGACGTGAAGGATGGGGCAAGCCTGGAGGAGACAGAGGACTTTGCAAAACTCAAAGCCTCCAGCTCTGAGCAGCTGGTCCCCATGTCCAAACGCGCGGTGCCTGCTGCAGTCAGCACATGGCCAAGACTTGCAAAGAAAATCTAGATCCAAAGGCTAATGCTAATCAGTAGAATCTGTAATTGAAGAAGTGGTAACCAAATGAGACTACCAACCTGATCCTATTAAGGGCCCCCTGCCCGGGCGTTAGGTCAGTGCTGCAGGCAGTGTTCACAAAGCCCCCTCCCGCAGTGGCGGGGCCAGGGGTGCTGGCTGCTGGTTTGGTTGTTGCGTGGTGCCGGGAGTGTGTGGCAGAGCTGTCCTCCCTGCTCCCTCGTTATCCAGAGTTTGCTCTCACTTGTATTTGTATCTTGCTTTGCAGATGGGAAATGTGTCCAACACCTCGGTGTTCATCTCCACCTTATCGAAGAGAGAAGACCTGATTTTTGGCACGCTCTATTTAGTCTTTGGTAAGGAAAGACAGCCTGCTATACCTCTCTCCCTGCTGTGGGCAGTCCAGGTGTCTGCCTGCGGGAGATGTTCAGGCCTTGTGCAGTCACTGATGCTTCCAGAAGTGTTCAGTCATTAGCAGAATAATGAAACTGGGCCCTTCCCACGTTAGCCCTCCCCACATAACTCAAAAGGATGATCTGGACGAAGCTTGGTGACTGCATTCCCTTCTCAGGGGAACTGCAAGTACCAGTTATGTTTTTAAATATTTGGAAAGTTGTAGAACAACCTTTGAGGAATGTGCTGTAACTTCTGCAGCCACCTGATGTGAGATGGATAGGGACTCTCTGTTAGCACTGCCAGTTTCATGGCTATTGAAGGTGATTTGGACATCTAGCCGGCCCTTGCTTTCAGCAGATTCTGATCAATGTCCCGTGATTTAGTTAGTGGCACTGAAAAGCCAGCAGGCAGAACTGAGGGGCTGGGATGTGCTCTGAGGTGGCCTAGACCTGGTTGGTGTGGGCCAGAAGTGAATGATGGGCAAAGAAAAGCCTGCCAGTGTGCTGAGCCCTGAGTAAGTTGTCTCCCAAGTGCTAGAAGAGCTTTTCATGCCTGCAAGGAGGGGGAACCCAAGGGATGCTCATGCCTCTGGGACTATCAGCCATCCTATAGGCACCTACAGATCCTAGGTGTTAGTAAAAATACTAAAATGTACTTAGTACAGGTGCGAGATTAGATTGGTGGGAAAAATGCCTCATGAGGCTCGGAAGAAGGACAGACATCAGTACTCTACCCTCCAGCAACTCTAAAGCCTCCAAAGCTCTGGATTTGTCCAGGTCCTGAGTGGGAATCCTGCTCCTGAGGGGAAGTTTAGTGTTGGCCGTTCAGCAGCTTTGGAAATTGGTTCTTATCATGGTATTTCATTTACAGCCTAATCCATTAGGGAGAAACCATTATCCTACCCAACCTGCCCTGAGAGCAGCAAAATTTCCCCTTCCGAGGATATTGAAGCGTCTTTTCAATGAAAGCACAATTACGTAATAAAAAAGAGAGAGAAAGCTCTTGTTATAAAATTTGAATCACCACTGTTGTTTTAAATACACTAATAGCAAACAAAGAGTGGCCTTCTGTTTAGTCTGGATTTTCCTTGATCTTCATAAATCCTTTCTTCTTGTTTATTTTGTTACTGTGATATTGGACAACACAGACTCACAGGAGTGACATTGCCAGGAATAAATTAAAAAGGCGAAGGGGCCCAGGTCCTTGGACTCACATCAGAAGAGCAATCACACAAAGCTCCTGTTATTTATCTAGCTGGAAGGAAGCGCCCCCCTTGCTCCTTCCAGCTGGAAGTAGTGACTCTGGCCAGATACTGCACCCGGAGCCCATTGCAGTCTCATCCCATCACTGCCCTCCTACCAAACGCCTCTGTAGGATCTCAGGAAGGGAAAGGGATCAAATTCAATGTAAAGCGGCTCCAGATGTGCTCACAGAGCTCTGCAGGTCCCATGGGCTCCCCTGCTCAGCTCACTCCGGAGGGGGAAGCCTCAGCCCTTTCCACCCTCTGTGGACATCTCCGGTGTTTGCTTCCAAACTTCTCAAGATGATCCTGGCTCCTTTCCCGACTCATACAGCACCGTTCCTCTGCCTTCTCCACAGGCATCGTGTCCCTCTCTGGGAACTCACTGCTGCTGCTGGTGGCCTATCAGAAGAGGTCCATGCTGAAGCCTGCTGAGTTCTTCATCGTCAACCTGGCCATCAGTGACCTGAGCATGACAGTGACGCTCTTCCCCTTGGCCACCTCATCCTTCTTTGCACACAGGTACCTTGTGGAAGTGGTTCTGCACTGGCCAACAGCCCTGGCTGCAGTTTGAAAACCTTGTCTTGAAATGGGGAGATCCCTGACAGGGGCTGCGGAGGGGCCCAAGGAGTCAGTCTGGTGGCACTGGGGCACTGTGTACCCTCACAGACAACCATCCCGCAGCAGGGTGCTTTTGCTGTTCCCTGTCCCTCCGGTTTATCACACAGACCTGCTGTCGAAGGGGTTTGGTGGTGGGTTTCTGAGCTGGCACTCTCGTGGCATGAGAACTGCAGTGGTGCACACTGGTGTGGACCTGGGCAGCTCCTGCACCTGTGGCTCTGTCCGTGCTTGTCACTGGGATGCTCAGGGAAGAAATTAGGGGCAAGATAATTTCTTGGGCAATCAGGTGCTTGTATCTGTGCAGCCTGTTGCAACCACCCCATGCATGGCCAGCTTTGCTTCTGGTGTGGGAGGCCCCATCACCAGGAGAGGGGCTGGGAAATACCCAGCCTTCCCGCAGAGGCAGCTTCCCGAGGCAGAGAGGAAGGGCTGGGTTTACCTGCAGGCTTTCCCTTGCAGGTGGCTGTTCAACCAGGCGGTGTGCACCCTCTATGCCTTCTGTGGGGTCTTGTTCGGGCTCTGCAGCCTCACCAGCCTGACGGTGCTCAGCACGGTTTGCTGCCTGAAGGTCTGTTACCCAGCATATGGTAGGTGCTGGGATGTGTTATCTGAGCTGTGCTCACACCCCTCCTGTTAACATAACCCTTTGTTTTTAGGGCCAGATCCACCTCTTCTGGGAAAGCTTTGCCCCAGGGCAACCTATTCCCAGGTGCAGCAGACTCTGAAGGCTTTTACGGCTTGTGTATTCACCCCTGTCCCCCTGTGTGGGGCTATAGAGCCCCGGCACCCTGTGTCCATGCCCGATGAACTCATCTCAGCCATCCCTGCCCCCACAGCCTGCTTCACTCTAGGGCTCAGGAGCATAATCCAGAAAAGTATCAAGGGAGTTGTCTTCCCTCTGTAGAAAAGTCCCAGCTGCTGTATCACAGCATGTCTCAGGGTTTGGGACATCCGTACACAGACCTGAGCACAGGCCAGAGCAGCCTCTGCATCTGGGAAGCCACAAGCTCTGGCAGTGCAAGGAAGAGTCACTTCCCCTTGTCCCTGGTGGGAGAGCCATGGGGCCAAGTGTATTTAATTCACTGAAATAATTAATACAGGAGGGCTGGGTTTGCAGTGTTATAGCTCACTTCTGTAGCCGTATTTTCACCTGGACTTTCTCTGCAGAGTTAATGTGAATGTTTGCAGCTCTAAGCTTGGGCACTGGCTCTTTGCAGGGGGCAAGCACTGCAGAGAGCACCCAGGGATGTCCCCTACACATTTACAGCTCCTCCTATTTGGAGTCGCTTCTTAATTTCCTCATTTCAGCTGCTAATCCTCCATCTAGCATGTATCTTCAGAACAGACTTTGGATTAAAGACCAAAAATAGAAACAAAAAGAGAAATCAAAGATATCAGTTTAATTTGCAGACCAGCACCCCAGGGTGCATCCTCATCCCTCTCCCATGGCTCCCAAGCCTGTGGCTGTTGCCAACTGCCAACATGTGTTGTCCCCAGCAGCTCTCAGAGCCTCAGGGACCATGCTGGAGCAGAGCCACTTTGATTATGTGCCAGCACAACAGCTCAGGAGTTCACTAAAAAAGTGGAAGGAAAGGTAAAGATAAAAGTTGGCTGTTAAAAGGCAGCCCAGGTACCAGTGGCTTTTCCCTGCACAGACTCTGCTCTCTAGATGAGCCAGTGCTTGGCAGCCTGGCATGTTGAGCTTATCTCTCTATGATGCCCCAGCCCATTTTCCATGAGGAAAAGGCTAATCTCAATGTGCTTTTAATTGCTTAGTTTCAAGAAAAAATGTTACTCCTATGTATGGCTGAAGATTTAGCACTTTATACAGAAGTCTTAGAAAATTAGGGAGTTTTAGATTTGATGGGGATTGGGTCAAAAAGGAGAAAACCTGCCTCCCCTAGTGCTTCAGTCTGCCAGAGAGGGAAGGGTTCTTCACATGACAGTGTCTGGGATGGCTTTGAGCAGTCCCTGCCCCGTGCCCAGGCTGTTGCAGCCAGGCAGCCTCCTTCCGGGCCCCATGGGTTGTGGGTGCAGCCATATCCCCACAGGGCTGGGGGTGCAGTGTCCCCCCCATGCCACTAGCAGCCACACAACCCTCCCAGCAATGCCCCCCAAAGCCGAGAGGGGCTGCACCACCTATCCTGCCACTTGCTGCGCGGATTGTGGCAAACCCTTCCATTTCTCTTGGCTCCTTGCTCTGGCCGCCTGCCCGAGGGGACGGGAGGATACCCGTGCACCCTGGGGCCCTGGGGTGAGCGCTGGTGTGGCTCTGCCTGCTGCTCTGCTGTGATCAGCAGCTCCTGCCCTGTGCGGGTGACCCCAGCTGTGTCCCAGCGTGGCTGGCCTCGTCCCCGGTGCCTGGAGGTGCGGGCAGCTTGGGGTCACAGCCCCTCTCTCTGCTCCCCCTTGCCTATGGGAAACCATCCTCACCCCAATCCCTTTGCCACAGGCAACAAGTTCTCACCCTGCCACGCCGGAGTGCTGCTGCTGTGTGTCTGGGCATACGCCCTGATGTTCGCCACGGCTCCCTTGGCCGAGTGGGGCAGCTACGGCCCCGAGCCCTACGGGACAGCCTGCTGCATCACCTGGAACGCCTCGAGCAGGGAGGCCACACTCTACATCCTCGCTCTCTTCATCTTCTGCTACCTTCTCCCCTGTCTCCTCATCCTCATCTCCTACTCACTGATCCTCTGGACGGTGCGGGTGTCCCGGAGGGCCGTCAGGCAGCACACGTCCCCCCAGCGCAGAGCTCGCAGCGTGCACAGCCTGATCGTGAAGGTAGGGGAGGCCTCGGGGCACTGTAGGGTCTTGGGGTGCCCCCTGCCCCAGCCCACTGCCCCGTGGGCAGGGGAACGCAGCAGGACCCCTTCTGCCAGGGTGTCTGCTGCTCCCAATGAATTTTCCAGGTGTCTGTATCAGTGTAGGTAATAACACGTCTCCTCATTTAAAGCTGTCAGGTGGAGGAGTTTTGATTTTAAATTACATTGGAAAATATCATAAAAGGAGCTTGCATAAGTCATTGTTCCCCAGACTACAAGCTAATACTATAATTTACCAAGGATATGTAAAAAAAAAAAAAAAAGTGGATACCCTTAAAAAATCCCAAACAACCAACCACAAAAGAAAACAGATCGCAAGCCTGGTGTAGAAGGAAACGTTTGTGTCTGCTTAGAGGAGGGGAGTCTGAGCATAGCCCTTTTCCAGAGCCTCTCGGTCCGTCTGCATGCTGGCACACAGATTGCTGGAGAGATTTTGAGTGCTGCCACAAGGCTGTTGGATTCCAGTGCTGGCCTGGTCCCAGCCGGGTCGCTGGGTGCTTCATTCCCATCTGCTGTGGTGGACTGAGGCAATTCCCAAGTTTCCCAGGTGAGACGGGGTGTGAGTTGCCTGACGGTTTATGTGCCCATGCTGGGACATGCTGAGTCTCTGCCCTGATGTCTGACACCCTTGATGCTCCAGTGTGACAGGTCCGGAAGGCTGAGCACCTTTCCCTGGGGATGTGACCGACTGCTTGAGGTCCCATTGCACATGGCTGAGATCTGGGGGGTGGGTCAGCATCCTGCCTGTGCCAGCACCACCATCTCCATCTGCTTCTCTTCCAGCTGAGCATTGCCGTGTGCCTGGGGTTTCTGGGTGCCTGGACCCCTTACGCCATCATTGCCCTGTGGGCAGTCCTTGGCGACGCCAGCCAGGTGCCAGCACTGGCCTTTGTGCTGTCAGCTGTCTTTGCCAAGTCCTCGACGCTCTACAACCCCCTGGTGTACCTGCTCTTCAAGCCCAACTTCCAGAAGTTCCTCTCCAAGGACATGGTGCTCCTCCAGGCCATCCGCACCCTCCTCTGCTGCAGCTGCCCGAGTGCTGCGCTCCAGCCCTTCCCATCTCCGGGCTTCAGTGACCACCCTGGGGCTTGCAGAAACTGCAACGACACTTTTGAGTGTTTCAGTAACTACCCCAAGTGCTACAAACTCCCCCAGGTGCCCGGCAGCTCGCCCCAGCATGCTCCCCTGGCTATGCTGGCTGATGGAGCTGCTTGCCAGCCGGGGCTGAAGAGGACGGTGCAGGTGATGGTGCTTGTCACACGGAAGAGGTCAGGCCTGGGCACTGTGAATGTGGCGGGGGAAGCTCTGCCATCAGATTTCATGAAAGACCTTCTCTGAGCCCAGCCGTGCCTGGCTGTGTCCTACCAGCGCACTGGAAGACAAACCCAAACACAACATTTCTCTCACCTACGTATCCGATGGTTCCCCAGCATGTTCTGCAGATGAAATGACATGAAGACTTAAGACCAGCCTTGTCTCCCCCTCTGGTTTGCCTCTTGCAACTCTGAACCTAGTCTTTGCACTTGCAAAAAAACCCAAATCTATTAGACCCCCAGTGCCTGAAACCTGCCCAGGGTGCAAGTCCAGGGTGAAGTTTCTCCTGCAGCTTGCTTGCTGGGCCCTTGGCCTTTGGTTTCCATCCCGGTGCTCTGATGACCAAGTAGGAACTTGGTTGTCTTAAGAAACTGTGCCTGGCAGGGAGGGCTGGGGGCCAGGAGAGAGGCATCCCACCTCCAGCGCCAGCTCCTACAGCCCCCACTTTCCTGTGGGGAGCAGGACCACGCCACTCAGCTACCTCACTTGGGATTATGAAGCATCTTTATATACCTCTTAAGAGACTACTCTCTGTATGGGCTGGGTTACCCCACTCCCTTGATTTGAATGCAAACCCAGCACCATCCTATAGATCGAAATGGGAGCTGTCTTTAGAGTAAGGATTTGGGGTTAAGATAATCCCAGTGTGAGTAATAGCAGTCCCAGGTCGTGCTCTCCAGGCAGGGAATGGCAAATCTGTGTCCGAGCACCATCCTGGAGATGGGGCTGTGGCTGCAGGGTGTCTCCCAGTGCCTGGGACGAGGGGGCAGCTCATGCCATCTGTGCTGCTGCGCAGGGGAGCAGCTGCCTGGGCAACAGCATCCTGTGGGCTCGTAGTCAGCGTCTGGAGACCAGTGTGGGCAGTTCACCCACAGGAAGAGTCTGGGATGAAAAGGACCAAGAAGCTATGAAAGGGCCCAATGCAAAGCCATCAATAAAAACGTTCTCTGCCGTGGCAGGCGCAGTTTCTCTCCCATAGCCTGCTGGTAGCCCCGTGGTGAAGCTCCCCTGGGGCTGAGCTCAGGGGCTCCCCGTCCCACCCCAGGACTGAGCTGCCCATGTGCCCAGCCTTGGGCACAGCAGGAGCTGGTTCTGCTTTTCAGGGCCTGAATGACACAGCCAGGGTGCCCAGAGAGGTTAGTTATGCCCCCAAAAATTAAAAGATGCATTCAAGGTGATGAGAAGAGTCAGTTGCAGAGGTGGGAAACGTGCTGCCCTCCAGCACCCAGACAGCTTGTGGAAGCACTTTATGTTGTCACTAGTTAACAAACAAAACCATGCCACAACCCATCGCCAGAGCTGCAGCATTAAATCATAGACATGCTAAACAGGAATAATGAACCATTTTCTGCACCGAGTGCTGGGAAACAGCCGCTGCCCTCGATGCCGTCACCGCCTGCCAGCTCTGCCTGCCAGCCGCCCTGCCTGTAAGCCGACCCTGAGCTCTCCCTCTGCTCTCCAGATACAGATATTACTATTTTTAGCAGTCACTCTCAGAACCGGGATGTATCACTGCCTTTTCTTAGCACGGATACGGCACCCTCCTCTCTTCTGAGGACACACAGCACTTCACAAAAGACCTGCCAGCTGCAGGGGTGTGCAGAAATACAGAGGGCCAGGTGTGCTCCTGGGGGGCAGACGGCAGATCCCCACCACCAGTCATTTAAGATACTAAATTGATACCACTGAGCCTAGGCATTAAAAATACTGGGGTTTTTGGCCTCAGTGTTATGGTCCAATTCCAGCATAGGTGGCAATGGGGCTGGTGTGAGCTCTGCTGTGGGGAAAAAGGCACCCAGCGAAGCAGCGCAGGGTGCTGGGGCGCGGGCAGTCCTGCCCTTGCTTTCCCTGGATGTGCCATCGTTTAGTGGCTGCTGCTGCACCGCTCTAATTAGCGCACGACAGCATGGCAGTCGTGGCACTTGCTTTTGTCCCTTGTGGTCATTTCCACTTAGACACTTTAACTAGCAGTATCCCCGTGACGGGGGAGGGCCTGTGACAAGAGAGGATTGTTGATGCCTTTGGGGTGCACTTGCATCTTCCTGGGATGGTTTTGCCCAGGTGTGTGTGATACTTGCAGGTGCAGAAGGTTGGGCAGGGCAGGGTTTATGCACAAGAGCCAAGTAATAACTGAAAGGCCACGCAGGGAGTGACACTCTGCCTTCGCTTCCTACTCTTGCTATGCAAAAATCCCCACCCAACCCAAAGATGTCCAATATTTGCAAAATGCTGCAAACAAAAATCAGGGCAGCCAGTGAAGAGATAGGACAAAGTTTCCAAGCTGGGTGCAGGTTTCTAGGAGGGCCAGTCACTGCCCGGCCCAGGGTATGGCTGCTCGGCCCCTCTGCACCCCGCAGCTTGGGGTGCTGCTCCCCGTGCCCTGTCCCGGGCACCTCAGTACACGAGGGAATCACAAGCACTTGGTGTCTCAATCATTGTGTTCCAGAAACTACATTTTTAAAGTAAATTCACTCACGCACAACTGGTGTTTGACTTGGTTCAATTCTGTGTTAGCGGCCGTGCTCTGGGATGAATGGGAATACTGGTGCTGTGCCTGCCGTTGCACATGGCCGGTGCTGTGGGCGAGCGGGGCAGAGACCAGGCATGGCCCCTTGGCCCTGGCATGGGGACCTGGGGCAAGCAAACCTCTCCTGCCCCAGCAGCCGAGCCTTCCTCCTGCCAGGGTGAGGCAGGGCCGTGCCGCAGTGCTGCGTGCTGGGGCAGCCGGGCCCATGGGCTGCACCCCTGAGCTGCCACCTCGGCCACGCGCCGGCTGTACCCGCTGCCCAGCGCTGCCTTGGGAGGAGAGGAGCCTCCAGAGAGGTGGCCAAGGGCCCATTTCCCACCGCGGGGCATGAACACGAAGGGCTGCTGCCATCTCCTGGGGGCTCTGAGGGCATGGCCACCCTGGGGTGGGCAGGGGGCCAAGGATGTGACCCTGGCCGGGCTGGGGCTTCGGGCTGTTACGGGCTCAGGGACATGGTGTGGTCCAGCCAGTAACGCAGCGTCAGGTCCCCACTTTGCTTACCAGCCCCACTGGCCTGCCCCTTTGTCCCCTGGTAGCTAAAAAATACCATGGTCCAGAGTCACCTAAAGGAGGCAGGAAAAAGAAATTTGTAAATCCCCCAGGTCCATTATTACTCCAGGAAAACTCCAGATCAGCACCTTCATCTTTAGTTTGGTGTGAGAATGCGTAACGTTGAGACCATGTAATGCCGAGACAGTCATGCTGCTGGGGAGTCCAGGCAGCAACACTGCAGCCACTTAGCAAAATTAAAATCAATTTAATTAACTCCCTGCACTGTGGCCAGGCCAGACAGCAGGTCCAAGCTCCCTTCCCAACACAGCCCAGGGCTGCCATGACCCAGGTACCTGCCAGGCCGGACCTGACCCCTGGGGCCTGGCCCAGCGGGTGCTGATTTAATCAGTGTCCCCAGCTGGGAATGGTGCCATCAGCTGCCACCAATTACATGAGAACAAGAGCCTCCCTCCCTGCAAGGGCAGCTCCTGGGGCTCTGATGAGGATGGTGGCTTCACCCCCGGGGCTGCAGTAAGTCTGTGCTAGCTGCTGTGGCTGGGCACCGCTTGGGAGGTGGTTGCTGGCTGCGAGAACTGATTTCTTTAGCTTTTGGTGCTGCCTCAGCCTGGTCCTCAGTCCTGAGCCGGGTGGGAAGGAGGGGTTGGGGGCTGGACTGCTGTGTTGCTGCTCTGTGAGAGTCTGGTCTTGGTGCGGGGAAGAAGTCAGGGCTGCCTCGGGTTGGGTCTGGGGCCTGGGCAGGCGTGCTGCGGTCCCTGCACTTCCCGCTTGGCGCTGGCTGAGCGAGGGAACTTGTGCCTTTTACTAAGCTCGATCAACCTCTTGAGGCTGAAGATGCTGAGGCAAGTGCAGACATGTATGCTCCAGTGATCTGCACGTAAGCAGTATATAGTCACCAAAAGCCCAGCCTGAACCAGAAAACCTGCAGCAAGAAATCATTCTCAGGGAGAGAGACTCCTTCCCAAAGGCAAGCTGGCAGAGGCCAGTTAAAACCATAAGGTAGTTTCAGGCGGCCTATTCTGGGGATTATTTTCTGCCCAAATGTTCCATAATTTCACATCATCACTGTTGTAAAATCACTTTGGTACCAACCTGACTGCATAGGGCAATAACCCCTGGGATTTCCGTGTTCCCCCCGGCAGTACCGCAGGGCTCTGGGCTATGCAGTTTGCTCACTGTGACTCCATTAATAACCTGCAGAGCAGCAGCATTTCCAAGACACCTTCTCCTTTGCTGCCTTACCTTGAAAGGTAAGCAGGTGACTCACGTGCTCCTGCTCCTCTTGGGTTTAGGTTTGAAGAGAATTTAAGGATGAACTAAAGCAGCCAGTGTGTGTCCACACAGCCTTCCCACTCATCCTGGGGACATGGGCATGCCACTCAAATCATAGAATCAGTCATAGAATACCAGGTTGGAAGGGATCTCAATGATCATCTGGCCCAACTGTTCTTAGCAAAAGCACAGTCTAGACAAGATGGCCCAAGCAGCCGCTGGTCCAGCTGAATCTTAAATTGTCCAAAGTTGGGGAATCCACCACTTCCATGCAGACATTATTCCAGTGGCTGATTGTTTTTTCCTCTTGTGTCCAATTGGAATCTCCTCAGGAGTAACTTGTACCCATTACCCCTTGTCTTTTCCATGTGACCCCTTGTAAAAAGGGACTCTCCACCTTCTCTGTAGCCACCCTTTAAATACTGGAACACGGTGATAAGGTCTCCCCTAAGCCTTCTCTTCTCAAGGGTGAACAAATCCAGTTCTCTCGGTCTTTCCTCACACGGCCGACTGCCCAGTCCCTTGATCATCTTTGTGGCTTTTCTCTGGACCCTCTCCAGCCTGTCCATATCTTCTTGTATAGCGGGGAACAAAACTGAACACTATATTCCAAGAGTGGCCTGACAAGTGCTGAGTAGTGGGATAACGACTTTATCTCTGCTGGCAATGCCCTTGTTGATGCAACCCACCATCCCATTGACTTTCTTTGCTGCTGCAGCCCACTGTTCTCTCCTATTGAGCTTGTTGTCCACCAGGGCCCCCATGTCCCTTTCCACAGAGCTGCTCCCCAGCCGGGTAGATCCCAGCCTGTGCTGCACTCCTCGATTATGTTTTCTCAGGTGAAAGACCTTACACTTGTCCTTGCTGAACTTCATAAGCTTCTTGTTAGCCCGCTCTCCCAGCCTAAGCAGGTCTTCCTGCAGGGCAGCTCTCCCTTCCAAAGTGTCCACTTCCCCACTCAGTTTGGTATCACCAACAAACTTCATCAGGGTACACTTGATCCTATCATCCAGATCACTTATGAAGATATTAAACAGCACTTGGACCAGTATTGATCACTGGGGGGGCCCCACTTGTGACAGGTTACCAGTTTGAAAAAGAGCAATTTCCCACGACCTGCTGGGTGCAGCCTGGCAGCCAATTCCCCATCTCCCACACAGACCACTTGTCCGGACCATAACACACCAGTTTCTCTAGGAGGCAGCTGTGGTGAACTGTATCAAAAGCCTTTGGAGAAATCCAGGTAGACAATGTCCACCACTCACCCCACATTAACCAAGCAGGTTACTTTGTCCTAGAAGGCAATCGGGTTTGTCAAGCACAGGGTGCTCTTAGTGAATCCGTGCTGGCTTTTTCCAATTGCATGCTTCATTTGACTTGTGACAGCCCCCAGGAGGATTCGTTCCATAACTTTCCCAGGGATTGAAGCAAGACTGATGGGCCTGTAATTTTCTGTATCCTCCTTTAAACCCTTCTTGTAGATGGGGTTGACATTAGCCTTCTTCAAGTCTTCTGAGATGTCCCCCAGTCTCCACAACTTCTCAAAGATTTTGGAGCGTGTCCTTGAAACATCAGCCAGCTCTTGTAACATCCTCAGGTGGATAATAATCAGAGCCTGTCAATTTGTAGGGGTCAAGCTCCTGTAATAGTTTACACACCAGATCAGTGCCATGTCCCGCCGACCTCGGCAGCACACAGGGCCAGACCCCGGAGCAATGCAGCTGGCAGGGTAATAGCACTGGCAAAACAGGGGGTGTGTGAGATCTGAGCCTCTGTCTTTTAATTTATCCCAAAGGCTGTCCCTTCTTGTGTGTTCCAGGTCCTGCAGGGCCGTGTCCTCCAGACCCCGGGAGCAGTCTCTAGGGCCACATTTCACAGGGGACATGGCCTGTGAAATGTGAATTTTACATAAATGAAGCTGAGAGCTAATGTCATTCTTCTGCCACTTCCCTCTCTGCTCCTGTCTGGACAGTGGGCTTGGCTAAGGGTAGCAGCAGTTGGATTGTGTACAAATATGAACCTTTGGAAAAAATCTGCTTTTTGAGTTCAATTTCTGTTAACGCTTGTTCTGTAAACTGGCTCTGCAAAGACAGCTGCTCCTCAAACAAGGTGACCAGTGCCTGCTGTGCTCCCACACAGGCACATGTTTTACTGTTCTGCTTGGTTTTCAGTTTGCCATGGACAGAAAAACTCACAACAAATGGAGGTGCCCCATACCCAGGGTACATCAACCCAAATGTCCGCAGGGCCCACTGTGAGCTGCGTTCCACCAAAATGGGATCACTTGGGGGATCTGAGGGTACAACAGGATGCTCCAAGGTGGCCACATATCCTAGGAAAGGAAAAACAGGGAATAAAAAAGGAAAGTCAGCAAAATTATAACTGAATGTGAAAATCAGTCACTGACATAACAGTAAAAATTTCTTCCAGTGGTTCCAAACTATGAGGGTTAATGTGTAGGTTGAGGGAAAATGAGGTCTTGACTCCAAGTCATGATAAGTGTAGTGGGCACTTTCTGAAGTTTTACTGCAGTTGCTTTTTCTCCCCACCCCCCCGCCCCGCTCCAAACATTCCTCCAGTTTAATTGCTTCAGAGCAAGTTCAGTACTTCTGGCTGCGGTGGTGAATTTGAATGTGTAAAGCCCTCCCAGCTGGTGGCGCTTGTCAGCACTGGGAGTGAGACCAGCTTCCCCAGCACTCCCCATTGTGGCAGGTCCCACACAAGCTTGTCCATCTCCTGTTCAAATTCAGAGTGGGAATCACTGATGAAGAATCCCATCAGCTCAAATCAGAGCTGCCCCTAGCCTGCACTATTCCAAGAAATTGCCAGAGGCCCCTTGCACCCAGACCCTTCATACCTCCAAAATCACTGGTTGCACAAAGTGCATGTTCCCCTCTGGTGTCTGTGCTCGGGCTGTCACCTCCTGGGGCCCCGTTCTTCTTGAAGGTTGGGCAGTCCTCAGCCACAGTCTGTGCCACTGACCTTTAAATGCAGCCCCATGGGTGGAAACATTGTCTGCGGGTTGGGTGACCTCACCTACAGGCTGCACAGTCACTGGGAAAAGGTGAAGGGTGTTTAACAAGCAAAGCTCAGAGACCCAGTCTTTCTTTCCAAAAGTTAAGCTCCTGAACAGCAGATAATGAGTACTGCTTTCTGTCCTTTTATGGCAGCTT